TAACACACCGGCTCCTAGAGACTGGATCATAGCAACAGTACTCTTTCTGATTTTCTGCATATCCAAGGAAGACACACTTCTTTGCCTTGGGGTCAAGCTTCGAGCGGTGAAAACCAAGGATATGTGCAAAGCAGACACACCCAAACACCCTGAGAGGAATATGAAACATCCCCCCCTTAGAAAAAATGAGACTGAATGGGGTGTTGAATCCAAATATACGAGAGGGCACCCTATTAATCAAATATACTGTTGTGAGAACTGCATCACCCCAAAACCAAACTGGAACTGTAGATGTAATCATCATGCTTCTTGCAATCTCAACAATGTGTCTDTTCTTCCTTTCTRCAACACCATTCTGYTRTGGMYTGTAGGGACAACTGCTCTGATGGACAACACCATATTCTAACAGAAGGCAAGGTATTTTTCAAAATATTCTCTGGCATTGTCTGATCTGAACAACTTTATTCTTGTTCCAAACTGTGTTAGTACCATCTGATTAAATTGCCTCACCAAGGATGGTACTTCATCGCGGGATCTCATCAGATAAATCCAAGAGTATCGTGAGAAATCATCCACAAATAAAAGAAAATATCAATAGCCTCCCATAGAAGGAACATGGTAAGGTCCCCACACATCAGAATGAATAACATCAAAAGAAGAAGAACACATTTTATTACTATGTTTAAATGAATGTCTACAATGCTTTCCAAGTTGACAACCTTCACACTTCAGACTTGACAAACTAACAGTCTCAAAAAGTTTTGGAAACAAGACTCAAAGAAGAAAAAGGTAAATGGCCAAAACGATTATGCCAAAGCATAATTTGACCCACAAACCCTGACTCACTATCCCTGCTGACAATGATGACTTTGATGAGGAGGAAGCACATCCAAGAGGTAGATCCCATTCACTGCACGACCACTCCCAATCGTCCTCTTTGAATCCAGATCCTGCAAAATACAATGACCAGAAGAAAAAATGACTGAGAAGTTCAGGTTCTTAATCAAACTACTAACAGATAACAAATTAGTGCTCAATCTAGGAACATGAAGGACAGAGGGAAGAGAAATAGAATCACTAATCTTGACAGATCCCTTCCCAGCAATGGGAACATGGGATCCATTAGCTGTGGAGACCCTATCTCTGCCAGAACAGAGCTGGTAAGAGGAAAAAATAGTAGAGCTATGGGTCATGTGCGCTGAGGCTCCAGAATCTATAATCCAATGAGGTCCCTCCTTACATGAAGTAGAAACATTATTTGCATTGACATGTGAACTACCTGTTTGAGCAAAGGAAGTAGAGTGGACTCCACCAGTACCACTTGTACCTTGTTGTCCGCTTGCTGCTAAACTGGAACTGACTGTATCTCGTTGGTTCAGAATTTGCCCATACCTCTCAAGTTCGGCCCTTACTGCAGTAGTTGCAACAGACTCCAGAGCAGTTGTAATAGGAGGGGTCGGAATGTCACCAATAACTGCCATGTGAGCATTTCTCTTCTTATTTTTCAGTCTAATCGGCACAAGATGTGGGTGAAGTTTCCAGCAAGTATCTCTTGTGTGTTTAGGTTTCTTACAATAGTCACAGATCAAATCTCTTTTATCTTCCTTCTTGATTTCACTGCCACCCCGATCTCCACTTTGTTTAGGTTTCACAATATTCACCATGGCAAACTGATCAAAAACAGGATTTTTCATCATCACATCTCTCCTGCTCTCCTCCCCTGACACAAAGGCATATGCCTGGGAGAGGGTAACACTGTCCCTGGACGTTGTCTTGCAATATCATACTCGAGATTAAGGCCAGCAAAAAATTCAAACACCTTATACTTCTCTAGATGTTTCTGATAGGTAGTTGCGTCCTTGGTAGTTTCCCAAGCAAATGTCTCTAAATGGTCAATCTCCTGCCACAGGGTTTTAAGGGCTGAAAAATAGGCTGCAAAAGGTCTATCTCCCTGCCTTGTAGAAATAATCTGATTTCTCAACTGATAAGCCCTAGCAACATTCTCCCTCTGTGAATAGGTTTCTACAACCCCATCCCATATTTCCTTAGTTGTATTTGCCCATAAAAATTTTTACTTATATGGGGCAACATGGAATTACACAACCAAGTCATCACCATATAAATCTCCTGTACCCACTAGGAGTTGCTAGTTCCGGGTTTCATTTCTTCACCAGTGATATACCCTAATTTCCCACGAGCACCAATGGCCATCTTTGCAGATTGTGACCATTCTAAGTAATTTGCACCATCCAACCTAACCGTAATAATGATCCCAGTCCCAAAAAGGTCTCTAACACCTCCTCTCACTGGTCTCATTTCACTCCTGGGCTTATTTTCAATTCCGTGACCCTCCATGCTTCTCAAAATGTGTAAAGAAAATAACTGAAATATGCAAGAAGATCAAATGAAACACTTCTGGAACCAACAACACCTTTCTGGTGTCCTAAACTGTCTTTCCACAAAAGATTCCTTTTCTGTGAGACGGAAGAAGAGAGAGAAGAGGCAACCGCTCTCTCTAGAAGCCCTCCAAATTAGGCAAGACTTGAACCGCCCCTTACAGAAAACTCCAAGGAACCCTAAAATATTAGGGCGCCACTTCCTAGGTCAAAATTGAAGAGTTCAACAGAAACAGGACTCTTCCCCTTTCTCTAGTTTTTCCTGATTTTGTTGAGAAACCCTAGACCAGCTACAAGGCAAACAGATCCACCAAAAAATCCAAAAATTAGACTTACCTAAGATCTTCGATCAGCCTCTTAAATCACCATACAGTCGGCCAATCTAGGGCTGCATGAGAAAACAACTCAAGGAACCTTCAGTCTGCTCTGATACCAAATAGAAATCACTGATTGCAGATTTAGTTGAATTCCTTGTGAAGGGAAAGAAGAGGAAGATGAAGATTTCAATAGTAAAGAAGAAAAGAGGAGGAGAAAAGAGTAGGAAATCAACCAGAATTCTTAAATTAACCCTAGCCGCCAACCCCTCATTATAATTTATACTTAACTTAAAGGATGAGATATTACAAGGATGCCCTTAGTAGGGCGGCTATTAATGTAGCTGAACAGTCACAACTTAAAAACATAAACTAATGGGCCTAAGGCCCAACAACTTCCTAACTAAATAACTTAAAATAAGAATAAAAACAACTAGGCTCAACTCAACCTTTAAACCTCTCTCTATTTCCCTGTCCACCGATTTGTGTCCTCCTCATTGATTGGGGTTAGTTGGAACTTGGGTCTAACAAGAGATTTGAGAGACCATAAGCTTGGGAGTGCAACGACAAATCCTTGATTGTCTTTCTGAATTTTTCTAAACTAGACAGTCGGGTTTGGATCCCACACACTAAGGGAGTTTTTTCTTGTGCCTCTTTTTTTCTCTTCCTTGTGCTCTTCCCCTACCTATCAGCCTTTTCCTGTGAAAGAAATTTGGTCCAAACCCATTGTTACCACCTCGGTGTATCCTTTGCAATTTGCAAAGCAAATGGAGAAAGTTGTTACCACCTTCTAATCTTCTACCCCTTTGTTGTAGGTATCTGGAAAAAGATTTTTGGTCTTTTTGGTACTAGGTGGAGTGTGCCCCTTCAAGTGGATAGTCTCTTTGACCCTATGACCTTCAGCTGGCCGAAGAAAAGAGGTAGAGTTATATGGAGATGTGTTTGGGATGCGTTGATTTGGACAGTTTGGGAGGAGAGGAACAACAGAATTTTCAATGGTACAGAAAGGAATGAGGTGGCAATGTGGGAATGTATTGTAAATAGGGCCATTCGTTGGGAAGCAATATCAAGAAGTTCTGTTATGAAGGATAAACCGGTTGTAGCCTGGACTCCTCTGGAAGAAGGTTTTATTAAACTAAATTTTTATGGCAGTTGTAATGGAAACCCAGGGTCGGCTAGCATCAGAGTATTTAGAAATTCCGATGGACACATTCTTGCTGTATTTTTAGGCCCTGCTGGAGAAGGAGATTTGGTGTATGCTGAATTCAAAGCAGTTTTTCAAGGAGTACAAATTGCCAAAGACTTCAATTATGACAGATTGGTAATTGAAGGTGACTCCAAATTGGTACTAGGGTGACTGAGGGAACTAGAAACATTGGTTTAGAAATATAGGGATTTTATTAAAAGATTTAAATGGCCAATTAGAGGTAAGATAACCATTGTTGAATGAGAAAAGTGATCTGTGATCAGCAAATGGGTTTGGCTGTTTTTTTTATAAGTTTTTTTTTTCAAAACAGGGGGTGTATAAGTCTGAATTGTTAGTGGCTCAATTGTAATTCAGTTCATGTAAAGGGGGCTGTATCTCGCGCCTCTGTTTAAATGCTGTTATTGTAACACCTTTATTATTTTTAACAACTTTATCATTGATCAAAAAAAAAAGAAAGAAATTCTAGGGTATTTGAAGAGGATAGAAGTAAAGAAGCGATAATTGATAGCATCACTGTCAAAGTGGCACATTTGGTGAAAACAATAGAGATACTTGAGCCATTCTTGGTTTATGGTATCATTAGAAATTGAGCTGCAATGGCAACTTCCTCTTCACGAAAAGAAAATGTGATGAAAATGTGGAAAACACCGGAGAGGGGTTTCTTGAAGCTGAGTTTTGATGGAAACAGTATGGGGAATCCAGGACCCTCTAGGATAGAGGGAGTTGTTAGAAATGGGGAAGTTAATGTGGTTGCTACTTTTTCAGGTCCAATTGGAGTGGGGTACTCCTTAAGAACAAAACTTATGGTGGAAGTCTATGGGGTGTAAAAAGCAATTGAAATAAAGGTGGAAAAATTAATCATTGAGGGAGACTCAAAGGTGGTGATAAGATGGTTGCTGAAGGAGGAAAAGGTATTATGGGTCTATAGAAATGTGATGAAACAGTTCAAGTGGCTGTCAAGAAAAATCCATTAGCCCCTCAATTCTATAATAGAGCAGGTACCTCTCTTCATAATTAAAAAAAAATTGTAAATAATGTTGACACAACAGACACAAAATTGTAACCAGGAAAAGAAATGCTTACTTTCAGCAAGAGAAGCTTTACTGAAGTGCAACTTGAAGCTTGTTCAACCTGTTTGCGCCACTGTTTTCTATAATTTGTAGCCAGAAAAGGCCCAAGTAGAAGGCCACGTAAACTCTCCTCCATGTATAAGATATATGTTGCAATACCATGAATGTTTCCATCTGCATTCTTTAGGGAACGAAGACCACTTAGAATCCTTCCAGGTCCTTTGAGAGCATTTGAGGCAGCTAAATTCAATAAGCATCCTTTCTTGCATGTAGTGAGAGCCTTGCATGAAAGACACCAACCACATCTTCCCCTTTGGACCTCAGTAAGTTTCTTTTCAGAATTTGGCCAGCAAAAACTGAAGACTGCTGACGAGAATGCTTTAACTTGCAGAGAGACATTTGAAGAAACAAAATTCCTGGGAACAACTGAAGCTTGTAAACCAGAAACATGTTTTTCTTCAGATGAAAGGACAGCCAGATTTGCAGCTGCAGTTGCTGCAACATCACCAAGGATATACAGATTCATGTAAGCCTGAGGTTTAAATGCAGAGCCCATGTAAGGGCAATCATTGGTCATTTTTCCTTTCCTTGTCCCACTATCACTATGTTTTTCTTCTTTGATTTCAGAGGACACATTCACAAAACCATTACTTGTTGTCAGAGTCAGATCATCTTCATCTTTTTTAGGACCCTTCTTACTTCCTGAGTTATAGTTAGCAAATTCTAGCATAGCTGACCTACTAGCTGAGCTTTGGTGTGTCAATTCAGAAGAGTCAGCTTGATGGCAGATTGACCCAGCAGACTGTTCATGGGGTTTTGTATTTGTGACTTCACAAACCTGTTCACTTGTAGCACCATCACCTCTCCCATGACTCTGAAGTCCCGCATGGTTAACCCCACCCAAGGAAGTAAACCCAGCTTCTCGGAAATCATTCTCCCATCCTGATAGTGCTTTGCTCTCCATGTTACTTTCAGTTGTACTACTTGGATTATCCTTATGAGAAAGGGTGTCAGACAAAGTAGAAAACATGGGATCTTCTTTTTTGCCTATAGTTTGCATACTTCCTTCAGGAAGAAAATCTTTTTTGTCTTCTGGGATTTCCCAATATTTTAATACGTTTTTACAGATTGCTGAGTACATGGTAGCATGCTCTGCAGATGAACAAAGTACCCGCAGGACATTTGGAATATCATTCTTATTGTAGTACCTGGAAGTTGGTCCTGCATGGATTGAGGCCTTGAGCCTGCAAATGTTGATTCCAAGTGTTCATAAATAAGCAAGCCAAAATTTAATAGAGCAGCTAAAGATACGAGAAAATTTAGCAAATGAGCTAGGGCTTCACAATCAGATATAACACCATCTTCAAAGAAAGAAGAGAGAAGTGCTAACAGCTATTTTTCATTCCAGTTATGTCAAACTGTCAACTAGATAAAGGATCAACAAAAAATAGCAAATAATTAAGATACTTACACAAGTAAGTGATTACAAGTGCCCAAAAAGACCTGTTCATATGGATCAATACCAAAAAACTCTGCTCCCCTTAGCCCCATTCCTACTCTGAGATCTGGTCCTTCCTTGTGTATCATACATTCTGGGCAAAACCATGACCCTTCAGGTAAATTGATTTTATTCAGACCAATGCATCTTGAATGGTAAGCTGAAGGGCAACCATCACAGCAAATCAATGTCCCATCCATGCCACAAAGGCGACATTCRTCACTATTCCCATCCTGATCAATATCAATGACATTTGCATCCACTCCAGGAACATTAATCCCCAAATGGTTTGAATGAGATGGTGACTTTGAATCATGAGGCTTATCAGATATTATCTCCATAGCTTCTGAGTCTTTGCAAGCTGAAGTCTTGGCATATCTAGGATGGACCCTTCTTGGCCCATTTTCAGGAGTAATGCTCGGAATCTCACCCAACTCTGCCCCCACTTCCAAGCTTTCCCTCATATCAATTTCTGTTCTTAGTTCTGCAGATTCTAAGACATCATCACACACAATCTGCAAGATCATCAGCTTCTTAGTCACAGACAAGGTGTAGTATTCCCTGTTTAAGACATCAGCATAAAATCCTTTCCATTCTGGCCCATTTGTATACCCCATTACCAGAAGATACTCAATCAAGTAAACTGGCCAGGTCATTGTGTCAAGCAAGCTCCAATTGATGCGCCTATAGATATTGCAGGTACATCAGTTCTAAGCATTGATCTATGAATAAAAATATCATAAAGGAATATAGAAAAAAATACCCTCTTCTTTTTTTTGGCAACGCAAGTAACGCTTTTCTCAAAAAAAAAAAAAAGAACATAGAGAATGATAGAAAATGAAAACACACACTGTAGCATACAATCATATGGTTGCTCCAGAGTTGTAAAAGCAAACCAAATATGATGGTTCAAATTATACAATCTATCTGGCTGGATGATAGAGAGAAAGAGAGATACCTCAAGCATTTTGATGCACACTCTGCACCATCAGAAGAAAGCATCTCAAGATGTCGCCTCAATGCACGCAAAAGGGCAACATGAATGGCATCCAGCAAAGTGTTGGGGACGACACAATTAAGCGAACCAACAAAATCATCTAGTCCGAATGGACTTAAAAATAGCTGTATACTAAATGAACGCAAGAAATTGTACACAGAAAACAGGTGAGAAGCAATCTCCTCTGGAACACCTAAATTACCCGAGGAAGGAGGCAATAATGGTGGTGGAATAAAAGGGCTCTCCGCCTCTAAGAAAGATTCCCGTACTGGAACATATTCACACGAATCACTGAAAGAGTCAGCATCTTCATGAAGCTGAATCCCTCCTGATTCAAGACTTTTCCTGGAACCCGATTCGAGTTCAGAATTCAACTTACTGGCAGTAGGTGCTTCATAGCTATCAAATCCGTTTGCAGATGTCACTGCCTTCTGCTCAGTTATCCTGCTTGGCGTCCTTGAATCACCCGAAGAAATCAAGTTGTCCAATTTCATCTTCCTGGTATTAAGATCGTCATCAAAATCACCCACTGCAACAAGGAACTCGCGAATTTCCCCGCAGTCCAGGTCCTCAAAATCCCCATCCTCGTAATCAACTCTGTACAATCCACTACTATAAGAAACAACCTTCCCTAGGAAAACCCCGTTCCCTTCAAAGAACTTCTTCACATATCTTCCTACCAGGGCCTTAGCCCTTGTCTCAACCCTCCCTCTACTATCAAGACAATCATATTGGTTTCCCTTTTTTCTCCTCTTCCTCGCCCGATCCTCCGTTGTTGGCTCCTCTGACTCCATTTTCAGCTACTCGAAAAGCCTTAAACTGAAATCCGCTTCCTTGAAATAACCAGTGCTCAAGACAACCCTTCTTCCGGAGCAATCCTCTTTATGTTCCTGCCTCCCTCAAAATACATATAAAAAGATAAAACCCTAGAATAAATCTCTTAACTTAGGGTTTTCGCAGATCCTCCTGAGCAAAACCACACCCTAATAGTATCAAGGAAATCAAATACCATCAAATTTCCCGAAAAGGGAACAAGGCCTGCTAACCTAGTGCCGCTTCTTCAGCACGAAACATAAATCCACGGAAACGATAAAGTAGAATAATCAAAAGGGTTCGTCGAGTTTCGTGCTATTACCTTGTTAGGGTTCGGATATCGCCATTAACGACGTGCCTGAAAATTCTCGGATGCAAAGAGAGAAAGAGATTTGGGAATGACGAGTTTTTTGGGGGGGTGAGGGTGTTTGTGTCGTTACTCATTGCTGCCCTAATTGGAGGGGAAGACCAACGGCCTCCTACATACTCTTCCACCGGGTGAAACTCCCTTTACCGCCAAAAGTTACACCACGCGGTTCATGTGAACTCACATCAACCCGCTTGAGTTCACTCATCGGAATCATTCCTCTTTAAAACCAAAATATAATTATTTCTTAAGAACCGAAAACCAGCGTTCTTTTTTCTCTGTGTGCCTACAAAGAAAGCAAAATTTATATTAATGGTATAATAAGGTTTAAATCAATTTTGATAAACATTTGTCAATCCTTAGAGAAAATGTAGAATCCGAGTTGGCTCGGCACAAGTGAGTCAACCCGGAAAGGGGCAAGTAAAGTTCAGCGAAGTAACCCCATACGAAGGACGCGCTATTGGTGGCTTACGGGACTGGTATTAACTTTGTTGGTACGAGCAAGTGGCGGGAAAATCCTCTGATTCGTTTGGCATCACCCGGGTTCATTTCAAAGTATACAGAAAGGAATGAACAAGGGGCCCAACTGCATTTGTTTAAGTTTAACGGTCATCTTACCTAAGCCGCTCCTTTCATTGGAACATGGCACGAGTAAGTTTGTAATATGTTAGAAATTGACCATACCAATTAATAATTGGAATTCTCCTATTTTTTAAAAACCCAAAAAAAAATAGAACTTTCTTATTTTTTTAAAGAAACAAAATATGTATATCTGGCTTGAAATTACTTTTTGCATTTTACACTCCTAATGCCCTCAACAGTAAATAATAAAATAAATGATGTATTCTTTTTCTCCTTCCTTTTGATTGAGAGTGTTTGGTGAAGAATAGGGAGTTGGCCTTACTCACTTTGGGTGGAACAAGGTGGCTAATTTATGATGGTTGATAATTAGGGTTGAAAAAAAATCCAATTATATCATCATTTAACAACTTGGTAATTGGTAAGGTCTCGTGTTGGTTGTAGCAGAGGCTTGGTCAAACAATGTTGTGAAGGTTTTTGTAGTTATGGTTTTGGGGAATGGGCTACTCTCATTATGTAGTCCCATTGAGTAAAAACAAGTTCGGATTGTTCTACCTTGTATATGAAAGTTTTGTCATTGGTTGTCCAAGTATTCTAATCGGATAACAAATTGGTTGAATATGATGGAAATGAAGATGATAGATTGGCGGACACATTTGGATTAGGGTGTCAACGCACTAGTTTTAGTTGGACTCCTTTCAAATTCAAATCAATTTGGATAGATTGGACAGACTGTAAATGCATTGAATTGGACCAATATATACTTAATAGTCCAAGGTGTTTATTGGATTGGATTGGGTTGGGTTGGATTGAACCAATATTCGGTCCATTAATTAATAGTATGTGAGAATATAAGTGTCACTTGAATATGTATGAGTTGGAACAAATCTAAAACAAAAATATCTTTAACTTATTGGACGGTTTAGACATTGAATTGGACTAGTTGAAGATGGTCTAAAGAGTTCAACAGAATTGGATTTACCAGGTCATTTGTAATAGACTCGTATTGGAATTTATCATATTTAACCAATATTCGGCCCATTGAGAACCTTATTTTCAGATGATTTGGGGATGAAGATGACGGAATGGGTGTGAAGGATGATTTGCAACAGCATAGTAATGTCAAGTGGGAAAAAAGGTGCCTTTTAGGCTCAAATTGGAAAAAAGTGCAAATACAAATATATATATTATAAATACATTCAAAAAATACAAGGAAAAATAAGGTTGGGGATATTTGGGAGGTGAAAGTTGATGATGGCAGTGATTGGTTGGCAATGTACACAAGTTGCATGCAAGTGAGATCTCAGTGGATGGGGTTGTAGTAAATGTTTCAAATTTTGAAATGATACACCCAGCCAAGGGGTATCGTACCGTACATTTTAAAATTCAACATGAGATACRGTGGAAAAATTGGTCACACTGCCCTTTTTTCACCATGTTAGAGCAGTATAAAGCATGAATTTAGGGTGTATTATCAATCAATATGCTATGGAAAAAAAATATACAAATAAGTTTTTTCAATATTTCATAATATCTTGTGATTTCTAAAATGTATTTTTTATTTAGATACATGCATTATCTATCATATCCATAAAGTAATTGATTTTTGTTCTTCAATAAATTTTCATTTGTTTCTTTTTTTTATTTAAAAAAAAATAATAATAATTAATTTTATTTTATGATCTAAGCACAATGACCAAATATATTATAAATCTATAGATGATCTATCATATCTATTATGATTCGGCCTGCCCTCGAGTCTTGTTAGTCTGATAACAGTCGATAAGAGAATAATGAAAAAGAAAGAGAGAGAGATATAAAGGAGAAGAAAATAAGAGAATAAAGGGAGAAAAAGTTATAGTTCGAATGAGATAAAATATTACCTCTCACATTCAGCCATATGTGTTTTATATTACTAACATAATGGAAAAGACACATGAACCCCAACTTAAGTGTGGGACACTAATTATAACATAATCTTACACATAAGCATAAAGGCAGAAATACTCTTATATACTCGACACTAACACTCCCCCTTAAGCTGGGGAGTATATATCATATAATCACATCTTGTTACATATGTAGTTCACTTTTCCCCGACCCAACCCTTTAGTAAATAAGTTTGCCCACTAGTTCCCTATGTTAACATATGCAGTGTCTATCACTCCACTCAACACTTTATCTCTCACAAAGTGACAATCAATTTCTATGTGCTTGGTTATTTAATGAAATACCGAATTAGAATAAATATGAACTGCAGCTTATTGTTACAGTAGAGCTTCATTGGAGTGTTAACATTGTACCCCATCTCCTGTAAAGATTCCTTAGCCACACTATTCACAATTAGTATGTGCCATAGCTCTATATTATGTATTCGCACTGTTTCTCACCACAATTGTCTGTTTCTTATTTTTCCATGTCATCAGATTACCCCCAAGAAAAGTGCAATAGCTTATGGTATATCTCCTATCAGAGATAAAAATGGCCCAATCGGCATCAGTATATCCTTATATTTCAAGCTTTCTACCACTTTTGTATATCAAACCATAACTAGGAGCCCCCTTTAAATACTTTACAATTCTTAGAACCGCATCATAATGAGGAATCAGAGGTTTCTGCATGAACTGACTTACCACATTAATCGCAAATGAAATGTCTAGTTGAGTAATGGTTAGGTATTGAACCTACCAAACCATGCTTGAGGTGACTGTTTAAGCCCATAAATGGCCTTCTTTAGTCCGCATACCTTACCATCCTCCCCCTTAGCAACAAAACCCTAGTGGTTGTTCCATATAAACCTCATTGAGTAAATCACCATGCAAGAAGGCATTATTGATATCAAGCTGATTGAGGGGCCAATCATACATAGCAGCAAGATATAACACAACACGAACCGAACCAATCTTAGCAATCGGGGAAAATGTCACTGTGTAGTCAATACCATAGGTTTTGGAGTACTCTTTTGCAACCAATTTAGCTTTCAGCCGCTCTACACTACCATAAAGTATTTAACAGTATAAACCCGCTTACAACTGACGGCTTGTTTCCTAGGAGGAAGATTGGTAAGGTCCCAAGTATGATTATGAGTTAGAGCTAAGAGTTCTTATTCCATTGCACGGTGTCATCCTGTAGAGGCAAAGGCTTATTTGACATTCTTAGAGACAACAATAGAGGATAACAAAGAGATAAACTGGCGATGGGAAACAAAAATGTGAGTGAATGAAACATAATTAGAAATAAGATGAAGGGTACAAGTGCGTTTACCTTTCCACAAGGCAATGGGAAGATCAATATCAGATATTGGGGATGGGGCTAGTGTGGGGACAACTTCCGGATCAATCGACGTTGACGGGGGTGGATCTAACTTGTCCCTCCCGTGGGCGATGTGTATACACTTGACAGATAAGTGGCCGTTCAACAAGTAGTGGCACCGGAGGCAAGGACTTGGTCACAGTTGGAACAAGATGAACAAAATCCACAACTAGAAGAGGAAGAGGAAAATGATGAGGTGATGAGGAGGAAGAAACATCACCAGACCCCAAGAAAAACGAAGTAAACTCAAAGAAGATAACATCAACACACACAAAGGAACATCGARAATTAAAATGATAACACTTATACCCTTTTTGAGTCTGGGAATAACCAAGGAATATGCACTTAACAGATAGTGCATCTAACTTGCCCCTCCCGTGGCCCAGATTATAGACGAAGCAAACACACCAAAAAACCCAAGGAGAATGAGGAAACAAAGACAAGGTAGTAAACAAAGTAATGAATGAAGAATGACCATCAATGATAGACGTGGGCATCCAATTAATCAAGAAGTAAGAAATAAGCACCGCATCACTCCAAAAGGGTTTGGGAACATTAGGGGAGGGCTTATTAGAAACCACAACAACCAACCACGAACAACACAACTAGAGGCATAGAAACCTAGAAGGGAAGAGGGTGACCACTCCTTTTCAACCATTTCCCTTATCTCCAACTGATGGCAAGGAAACCAAAAGAAAACCCTAAATTGGGTGCCCAGAAAACATAAATCTAGGCAGATCTAAGTTGCTTAGTTTAGCTCAATTATCATATTATGATTCGGCCTTCCCTTGAGTCCTGTTAGTCTGATAACAATCGAGAAGAGAGAAGAAGGAAGAAGAAAGAAAGAGAGAGAGAAAGGAGAAGAAAAGAAGAGAAGAGAGGGGGAGAAAGTTATGGTTTGAACGAGAGAAAATATTACTTCTCCCATTCGGCCATATGTGTTTTATATTACTAACATAATGGAAAAGACACATGTGCCCCTACTTAAATGAGGGAGACTAGTTCTAACATAATCTTACACACCAACAACCTCAATATAAGCATAAAGACAAAAATACCCCTATATACTCGACATTAACAATATCCATAGAGAAATTGAAGATTTCTTCTTCAATAATTTGTTTGAATATATTATAGGATGTTTATTTAGTTTTCATTTTTTATAACTTTTGAAAATAAAAAATAAGTAGTAACTATTTAAATAAGAAAAATTATTAATTATATATTCACTTAAAGTTGTGCCAATGCATGCTTTATGGTTGGATATGATAGTTGGGTTTATTCCATCCCTAAAAACTAAAGAATTATAATTTATAAATTTAGTTAAACATAGGGTTTTTAATGAAATTATAATTGACTGCAATGCATTTCTTAAAAAACATTAAAATATATTAATTTAATGTATGTATATCTCATTAAGACCTTATTGTTAGTGTTATTGATGTTTTTTATGATTTATTAAAATATTTATAGTATTTCCATGCATATCTTAATTTTTCTCCAGACACATAAATATTCAAGGCATATCATAATACAACTCTTAAAATTGTATTTTCTAATATACTTGGCGTTTCCAATATTTGGAACCATGGTTGTAGTCAAATTTTATAATTCGGATGTTGGTAAATAGCATCTTTTGAGTAGAATGGTGCAATCGATGTGGACCATCATGCAAATGGGGAAACTCGGGTTGATTGTGTAGCTAATATGGACCTTCAAACCAAACACTTTAACATTTAAGACTATAACATACCACCATGCTTTTTCGTAACCAACATCTTAGCGGCTTCATTCTAGAGTCTAGTCAGCTCTCACTTTAGCAATGGGTAACCCACTCCAGGACACTTCACACTATGGCGATATGTATCCCTTTATATATACTTGCATAATCCATGGGAATCTCTTCATTTTACATGTAAAATGGTACAAATAAGAAGGCTCATCGTGTATGACAGAAACTATAAACTTTGGAGGTGTTTGGTACAGTGGCATTGCATCGTGATTGCATTTTGGGACTTGGGTTGATCAATACAAATTTGTGTGAGAGATTTTTTTACTCAAATGTTTTGACTTAATTGTTTGCTATTTCTATCCAAAAGTAAACTTCGATGTTTTTAATGAATGCATTTTTCTAGTTGAAATGGCATTCATATATGACATGGCAATGCATTTTTCTCACAAAATTGTATTGATAAACCCAAAACTAAGGTTCAAAATATCGATACAATCGATATGCTGGTAGGGACGTATTGGCCTGTATCGAAGCTCATTTCTCTCTCTCTCTTTTTTTTTTTTAGTTTTTTTAAAACCTGATTCAGAAGGATCGGTTTAAGGCTTGTATACCCCTAAACCGGGTTAAACCCCAAAACACTGTACCAGAAAGCCCCTGATATAATACTTACTGGCCGATACAGCCCAATATCAAAATTTCGAACCTTTCCCAAAACACAACTGCAAGGCAACACCATCTTTTTGGATACAGCTCAAGATTTTCAAATATTCTCCATCATCCATGCCATCTCTGCGAAGCAAGAAGCACAAATAAAGAGAAACACTCTCAGATAAGTGTTGAACGAAGAAGTGAAACACCAGTTTTATAAAAACATAAAAGAAAAACATAATATACAAGAATATACAAACGTAGTTAAAAAAATGCCCATCAACACAATTGATTAGCATATCATATTGCGGGCTTGCACATTAATCCCTACATAAACTAAGCTGTTTCTGACATCACAGTTATACATCACGATAATAGTAACTTATGTGTCAACATCAAATTTAAGGTTTGATTCATCAAAACGTAGCAATAAGCCAGGTGATGCGCGTTTGGATTCAGACAAGGCACACCCCACAAGAATAGCCTCAACTAACAACTACGAGACTAAGCTTGCTTGCGGCATGGCCCGTTAAATTGCTTTTTGGTATTACATATCAGGGGGTGTGAAGGGTGGGATGGAGCAGGGTGAATATGAGGTCCAAACACCTCACCATGCCTGCAGTTGCAAAGGTTGGACCCCATGTTTCCAATATTCGTAGGGACAGCATAAGGCCCTTAATTTGCATTATTTGCCTAATATTTAGCAAAGTTACATCCTTTCCCCGGAATGAGAACACTTATAAGAGGAGGTCTCATGGTAATGTTGTTTGCTGATGATAAAGATAGCTGAATGGAAAGCTAGACCAGCAGACATATTTTAGAATCAATTTAAGAAAAGTGGAACTAAAAATACATATATTGCAATTTTAATAGAAGCAACGATAGTGCAATTAAGATTGATGATGGAAATTACCCTAAACTAACTACTTCAAGTACCTTGGATCAACCATTCACAATGAGGGAGAATAACATGTTATGAAAAGAATTAGTAAGGTAGTTGAAATGGAGAGGTGAAATTTGATTCACATACCAATAAAAACTAAGCCCCCATTTGGTTCGTGGGAATAGGGGTCTGGAATCAGATTTGGAATAGGCTAGTCTGATTCCAATTATTTGGTTGGGCAGAATCGAAAACCCATTCCCAGTCCTGGTGGAATGGCATTCCTCCATTTGAGGGAATGACCATTCCATCCTCCTCCCTTGGGAACGAAATCCCATTTTCCAATTATCATTCTCATTCCTGTCTGAACCAAACAGACTATGGGAATAGACCATTCCAATTCCGATTCCGGTTCTGACTGTGAACCAAACAGACCCTGAAAGGAAAATTCTACACAATTATAAGACCAACATTGCTATGTGGAATAGATGTTTTTTTTTTTTGATAATTACTATGTGGAATAGATGTTTGGCAATCAAGAAACATGCTTGAAAAAATATGTAGTTAAGATCAATATGTTGAGATGGAAGTGGCAAGACCAGAAAGGACTAAATAAAAAATGAATTCATTAGAGAGGGCTGAGAAGTAGCCAACATATTGTGATTATATGTTGAACCACAAGTCTGTTGTTCAACATCATTTTTTTTTTCAGTCTTCAAACTGTTTTGTTTCATTTTTTAGGTTTCCTAATTGAGGGTAATAACTAGAAAGTGATCATTTCTAATAGTTTCCATTCTCTAGTTAAATTGTAAAGAAAACACACAATTTTAACTTGATGAAGTCCATGATCATGTAAGCGCCTTATGTAAAAACAATAAACATTGAAATTATCAAAAAAAAAAAAGAAAACAATAAACATTGAATAACAGGTGCTGTGAGACTGCATGTTAAGGTATATGTCCTGTTCAGATGTTGCTAATCCATTTCCCAAAAAAAAGGCTCATTCGAACCCTAATCTATGCCTTCCAATGTGCATAGACTTGCTTATTATATCTTCCATCTCTTCCACTTTAATATATTTTCATTACAAACCTCTGGTCTCTACCTTATTCTGATATGTATTTTAGGTCTTGCGAGATTTGGTGGCAAATTAAGGGATTTGAAATACTTCAAATGTAAAATGAAAACTGGCACTGATTTTATACACAAAATGATTAAAAAATATATTGAACTTTGAATACAAAATAAAATACCTCCAGGCTCCAACAAAATGGAAATTCCTATTAACAAAACTGCAAAAGAACAAAAAAAATGTTTGCATACAATATAAAAATATAAAATACATATCTAACTTTAACAAATTCATAAATACAATATCTTGATGGAAACACAAAGATGCACATTTATCCCAGGACTGGAAGATTCATTGATTAATTGTTTGACAGTGTGCAGCATACCTATTAATCCATGAATATATTATGGATGAAAGGACAGGGATCATTTTTTAAAGTAGATTAGAGTACTAAAATTTAATTAGAAGTGTGTGTATACTGTAAGTATGCTGTATACTAAACTCAAAAATTGTTTCAAGTTAAATTTTTGTATCATACCAAAACATTAGTTTCCAGTTTTTTTTTTTTTTTTTCACATGACAACCAGGACAGCGTTATCAGTACATGGAAACAAACTTACACAACAAACTGAAACCTCTGCTCTATTATGCAGCACAGATTCATTAACAACACATCCATGTAAAACTGCAAAACTGATTGAAGCTTTCCAAATAATCTATAAAGTCGTCTATATATGATAAATTTACAGATATGTCGACTGTTACTATTGGTATACAACTTTCAGGAGAACGTGAAGAGCTTAATGGTACAAACATCAATTTGTGCTTCACTTTGCAGTGGCTGTAAGCGCCAATTCTAACAACCAAAGAAAAAACAAAAGATAGTACTTTTCTTGATGGGAAAAAGTTGGGATGCTGAAACTATACCTTAACTGCTGGACGAATGACTTCTTGATGCTAAGGCATCCAGAAGAATCAAGAATTTTGCTCCGTACTCATCCCAGCAAAAAATCAGTACTTGCCAAACAGCATCCAAAGACAGAGTACCTCTTCACAGACCAAATGTTGCTAAGATTTCTATCCAAACAGAATTTGTGAAATAACTAACTTGTCATCTTATGAGGCACCCAGAAATATGTTGGAAACCAACCGAAGGCTAGGGCTGAAATATTGTTATCCCTTCAGATCTAAATAATCATCAAAGGTTCGGCTGCTAGCACACTCCAGTAAAGCTTTTGCATTAAGTTCCCTTCCATATCTCCAAATGTAATTCAGACCTACAAGAAGCTCTGTAATCGCGGCTTCTGTCTTTGCCTGGTTTGCAAAGTAGAGTGTCTGTACCAAAAGAACATTTGCCCTGGAAACTAAGTGCTGCTGCTCGAAATTTCGTTCAGATTGCCATCTTATCATGTTATGAGCAAGTGGAGCCAACCATTCTAAAATCCTTGCCAATGCGTCCTTCCACTCTTCTGCAAGAACACCATCACAAAAAGAAGCCAAGCTCTTAGCATATGACTTTAGCCTTGACCTTAAGGCTGCTCTTATACATGTTGGTAACATATTGTAAAGATCATCTCTGGCATCAGGACCAATCAAATGAGGAGAAGCCACAAGCTTCTCAATTACAATAACAATATTGGCATAATGGAGTGCTAATGCAGAGGCACCAAGAGTTGATGGAGGAGCATTTAATGAGCTATGCTTAGAACTGAAGAGGGTCAGATAACAGTGAAGTGTATTTCCATGACTAGGCAGTTCTCCATCAGTAGCATTCGTTCTGGTAAGAAGTCCTGAATGAACACCATTTGACCTTAGGTAGCCACTATTTACAGGTCTGCAGCTTTGCACCACAGGAGAAACATTTCCAGCCATCATGCATCCCTTAAATGGTCCCACAGGAGCCAACCTCCTTGTTTTCTGGTGTGTGATCTTGTGATTAAGGTTAGATGAATGATCAACAGCTTGCTGTTGCCGGTTGTTTGACTTATTTATGCCATAAATAGGCCCTGATTTAGTAATTAGCTTATGTAGAGGACCTGAAGCAAATCTGGCTTTATTAATCTCTGATGGGTGAACTGATGATTGCAACAAGGCAGCAATGGAGTGGCTGCGAGAAAGACTATCAGTATTTCCAAGTTTGGGGCGATTAATTCCATCCACTGCTACTGTCTGATTAATATCAAAGACACATTTGATCCTCCCATATATCGTGAAAAGTGACCTTGCAAGAAGGCGAACAGTGTAATCATAGGTCCTGTTCCAGAGAGAAATCTCTCTAAGAGTCTTCACTTCCTGCCGCTGCCACCCAACCTTCTGTTGAAACTCAAGCAAGTTCAACTTATTAGGCTCCTCACTGGCCTGCATTCTCCTCAGGGTCTGTTCCAGTTCAGCAAGAACTTCCAGCTCCTGATATAAATTTGAGCCAAGTGCAATGAACTTCTCCATTTTCTTAACCTTCCTCTCCATCTTCTTCAACGTGAATTCCCAGCCATAAATATCAGCATCATTCTTGACCAGGTCATCAAAGACATTCTCAAAGCGCTGCAAGACAGGGTCAGTACACTTCTTTCCAAGCCTGGCAACAGATCTAGCTAGGAATCCCAAATTATGAACTATTTCTACACAGACCAACTCAACAAGATATTCGTCATCATCCGACACCAGCTTCCTAACCCCAACCGAATTCATAATCTCGTCCCTCAGCCCAACAATATGCTTATCGCTTAAACACTGCCATAGATGAACCACCTTTGACATCAAGCTTGCAACTTCAAATGTCAATACCCCAATTACAGCCTTTTGAGGTTCTGATGCAGTCTTCCTCGACGTCCTCCACAAACTACTAAACCACGATTCGGTAACCATCTCGCTCCAAAACGACAATAATAAATGCAAAACAAATAATTTCTAACCAACTTTCCGTTGTAGATCTCACGGATTCTGCATCAAAACCCATAGATAACAACAATCAAACAATTGAAGCAACAACTACACAGCCAAATCAACATCGCTCTTTGAGACACGAGCCACTGGAATTACTTATTAGATAACTAAATTCCACTCACAAAACCAATAATCGGTGATAAAAAGACCGAAGGGCATGGAAATTCGACTTTCGGGAGAAGAGATGTGTAGCGAAAAAAATCCCTTTTCTTAAAAAAAAAAGAACAAAAAAAAAGAAAAATGGGAGTTTGAAAACACAATGTTGGAGCTGCAAAAGAAAATGACAGAAACCTAACTCTTATTCTCCACCTAAATCCCGTGATTTGTATAACCATCAGACATTGAACACATAAAACACGTAGATCAATACATAAACCCTAGCCCGAAATTTCCTGCAGAATCTCGTACAAATACCAGCTTGGAAGCAACAATAGCACAAAAAATCAAACCTATTTTCTTCAGAAATTAAAAGAAAAAAAGGAATTGAATCAAAAATTGGAAACTCACCGATGCTCTGAAGAAGAAGGAACAGCAAATCTCTACTCAACAATACCAAATCCTCCTTCACCAAACGAATCTCACCTTAGAATTCAGGAAAGCAAGAAAAAAAACAAAAAATAAAAAATGAAAAACAAAATGAGATTTACTTGAAAACATTTGGAAACCCAGCAGACGAAAAAGGCTACAGCAGTGGTCGGTTATTCTTCTATGAAGTCCAAGGAAGCAGCTCGGAAGCTGCGGCAGTGACTCAGCCATCTCTCTCTCTCTCTCTCTCGTGTGAACTACATTAAACCAAAGCCGAAATCGTAAACGAGTGAAAAGCGCATAAATAAGGAAAGGTGACGGCGTGACGCGTTGTGGTCGATAAATGTAGGCGGAAATACAGCGGAAAGCGTTTAACAGTTTTACACTTCGCACCACCGGCGTCAGATAGCCGCGCCAAGGCTAGCGTTGGACGGACGATACGGACAGACGGAGGACGACGGCAGGCGATGTAGGTGTGAGAGAGAGAGACAAATATACGGTTTGTGCCTCCGGATGTTACGGTGTAAAACACAAAGAGTTTCACTAATTAATGCTGCGCTTGGTTCGAGGAAATTGTGATTTAACAATCCATCAATGTGGGTCCCTCGTGATAAGCTGCCTTGATCTGCCACGTGTCATGCAGATTAATGAATCAAATGGTTGATATGAAATCTATTGCAGCTAAACAAATAATAGTTTAGATCAAATGGTTGAGATGCTGAAACGTTACTGTGGAAGTGGGTCCCCGAGCACTATAAATAAGACATAAGTTGAAGCCTGCTGTGATGCGGTTATTTATGGCTTGTCTATTTGGTTATTTTATTACTGTTCTTTTTGTTTGTTACCGGGTCGGGTTATTAATTAATGAAGCGAGTATGTAGCTCTCAATACACCCGTGAACCCAATAAAGGAATGTCAACCATTGGGGAATTATTTCTCGTGGGGGGGTAAGGGTTGGGGGAATTGTTTGGTTACAGGAATATGCACGGGATCCAATTTCTATCTTAGGTGGCTCGGGTTAAGGTTTAAGTGATAAATCCGCATTAATCCAATTTATTGGGTTATGGTCAAGTTACTTGTTTCGTTAGACTTTTTTTTTTAATGTTTTATCTATTTTATGTATTTTTTGTTCAATTTATAATTTAAATCTTAAAATTAAATATTATTAGATTAAAAAATGAGTATTTTAGTTAATAATGAAATTTCACAATATTTTTGTAGTGTTTTCTCTTTTGGGTCTATCTTTTTTTTTTCTTGTGTTCATTTATAAAATAAAAGTCAATTTTAAATAGTGGTAATTGAGTAAGATAAAAAGTAGCAGTTCAATTTATTACAACAAAATAGATGCTTGGTTGGCATATTAGTTGGGTAGTCCCAGAAAGACATGGATTTAAATCCCGTTGTTACCATTATTGAAAAGTTGGTGTGTGTTGTGTTGAGTATAAAAAAATTACAATTTAAACCTTATAACTAAATAATGACTAAATTCAAAATTGAATATTTTATTCAAAAGAAAATTTCATAATCTTATTTATATTTTTAATAGTAGTGTAAATATAAAATATAGATGTGTTCAGTTTTTCTCTACAATTTTTTTTTGTGTCTAAAAATAATTCTAATATATTACATTTACTTTTTATTCCACATGATATTGTACATGTGCCTAAATAAGGATGGCAATTTTTCCCATCCCGATGAGGATCTGACTTCCCGAATTCGATGGGTCCAGGGATGGGGATTGAGGTCTCCACCCCACCCCAGCCCCAGTTATATATAGTAATTATTATTTATATTAAATACAGGATATTATTTGTATATATCAAGATATATTTAAAACATTATTTATATTTATCCCCGGCGGGGATTGGGGACAGGGATGGGGATGGAGAATATGATCCTCGCACCGAACCAGTCCCATTGCCATTTTTTTCAAAATTTATGTATTTTTTATTTTTTATTTTTTTTATATTTTATTAATTATATATGGCATTAAAGGTTAACACATTTAACCCAAAAATCGAACTATTTATTATTAATTTTTTGTTAGTTTTTTATTTTCATTATTAATAACAAATAATTGTTTTTATTACACTTTTTTTTTAATTTGCTTAATAAAGATATCACACATGTGTTTTTTTTGTTTGCATTTTTGTAACTTTCTACTTTTTAAATTTTATTACCTAACTACGATTTCATAAGTTGATCAATTTGGTTAAAATGGTTGAATTGTTTAGCCACCACTTTGATAAAAAATGATTTTATTTTTTAGTGAGCTTTAAAATACATGGATTTATATTATTAAAAATATTGGCATAGATCTAATTAATATCATTTATTAGTGAAAATAACTTAAAAATATAGGATTCAATAAGAGAATATGAGATTTGTATATCTTTAAGTATAAGACTTAATAATAGGGGATTAAATGAGGTGAAAATTAATTAATGAAGTTGCATTTTCAACTCTTACAATTAGAAATTTATTAAATACACAAATATAGGCATTTTAGTAATTATTAAAGTTAGCATTAAAAGTATAATAAAATGACTTTTATACTATTTCTTAAACAAATAAGTAGAGGATAATTTTAATCTAAAAAAATGTGATATTATATTCACACATATAAATTATTATTATTATTATAAACAATGGCTAAAATAAAGTGAAAGAAAACATAAAATACATGACAAAAGTGGGATTTTAAACGTTTGAGACGACTGTCATCTGTCGAGCAAAGTGAAGTGGAATCTTGCCTTTATGTATAAGTGATGGATTAGCTAAGGCTATTGCTAAAATAAGCAAGTATGCTCCCTTTTTTTTAATTTGTGGTTGGGTTCGATATTTGTTTAATTTGCACATGGCCTGCCCACATGCAGTTGGAAAAGGTCAAGATCCAAATCATATGATGGGATCACAATAATATTCAACCCATAAACAGGGCACAACTCATGGGCTCCATGTCAAGAGCATCCATTTTTTATGGGCCCTATATGGGTATTTATTTGATTAATATAAAATGTATAATTTTTATTATATGTGATATCTATCATCATTATCACCATCATCATCGTTGTTATTGTTATTATTATTATTATTATTATTATTATTGAAGTTATATCCACTGATTTCCAAATTTAGCACAAATCTTATTTGTAGTGTTTCAATATTTTATTAATTATGAACAAAAAATGGTAGTAAATAGTAATGTTACGTTTCTTAATATTTTTCTCCATGTTGTTACGAATTAAATTAAGACTGTGTAAATTTATGTTGTATAAAACCCAAATGGACAATTGCTAGATTAAATAACTGTAAAAATAAATATTAAATAAAACTTATTTTTTACAAGTACACACGCAATAACTTAAATTCTATGTTTGGTAGTGGTGTTTTTTATAGGAAATATCAGTTTAATATTTTGGGTGTTGTGTCTGTTTTTGCCTATGTGGCGACTAGTGGTGCTTACGCGGAATAAAATGCAATAAACAATTATTGCATTGTACTGTGATGCTCAAACTATTTTTCTCAAGTCTTCGATGCAATGACACAATAAACAACAAAACACCACACAAACATGACTAGTTGTGCACAACACATGAGTACTTGGGCATGTTCTTCTTATCTGAATAAAGATTTGAGGCTCTGTTTGGTTTGTGGTGGGCATTGAAGTCCCTAGAGTTGGAATTGAAATGACCTATAATGGTCCAAATCAAATTAATGTTGTTTGGTTCATCTATAAAGTGAAATGGAATCAATTGTTTTTCAAATTGAAATCTTTGTATTCTTTCATGCGGATAATTAGAGCTTTGTTTCCAACTTTCTTCATGTTGTATATAGCCTAGATAGATACGTTTGTCATTCAAACAAGTTGACAAAAGCAACTCTCTAATTTGTTATGTATCAATTGATGTACAATAAGGTTTCAAAATCCTTGTGATGTATAATTCTCGCATAAATGAAATATTATTTTAAAACAATTACTTTAAATTCGTTTAATTGGGATTAGTTGTGGTGATATATATTTTATAGTTGAAGTTGATATATCCTAACGGTCAAGGATCAAAGCAATAACTTTGACTTATATATATATACACCATTCAGTTCAGTTAATTGCCGATTTTCTATATTGGTTAGTCAAACCGAACCAATATATTCAATTAACTGGGTTTTTTATTCATTTTTTTAGATCTATTACTCACCCCTATTGCCTTATAACCTCCACCAACAATCATGATAATCAGTATAGGTTAAATTTAGATAGCACTGACCAAGCCGGTGGTCCAACAAGTTGATTCGGATACCAACAACTTTGCCCATGGTCATTCCCTCCAATGGAAGAATGCCGTTTTGGTAAGAATAGGAATCAGGTTGCAACTTTGTCCAACCAAATAGTCGGAATTAACATGTGTCAATTCCAGGCCCTTATCCACGTGAACCAAATAACCCTTATACGTTTTTCTTTTTCTTTCTAACCCAACTATGATGGGAAAAATAACAATATGTGAAGGGAAGTGATTGGGATATGATGATTATTGTTATAGTGTCTGTTTGGCATCAATGTCGTTGCTCCCGAAAATGGTGATACATCAGTGCCACGTTGAAAAAAACGGTGCTTCAGAAAACACCAATGTACTTGGAACCGTTTTTTCATTAAAAAAATGGTGTTCCAAGCCACGCATTGAAAATTGATAATGCATGTTTTGGAGAAAATGCCAAATTTAACGTTTTATCAAATTAGAACTCGTTACCGCCAACGAGGACATAATGCAATAATAATGTGAACTTCCTATAATGAGTACTAATACCAAAAACAAATATGAAATACCGGTACCAAACAGAGGTATTGCTTTTGCTCCCAGAAAACGTCATACCTAATAACAATGGTAGTGGGAAAAAATATCCCATCGATACTCTTAAACCATTGAAATGTTATGAATGAATAATGCATGGATAAAATAACTAATACCCTAATAATGCTAATATTAGCTGGACCATATGCTTTGCAAATCCAAAGATTCTCGTAGTTGGTGGATGGTTGTATTGTGTCATCTATCTATTTGACATAAATAGGGTGGGTTGCGGAGGAAAATTCTCAGGTTGAACCATATAGGAGCCGTTGTTAATATATAATCCACTTATGCTACAAATTGAGATAAAACCGCAAAATCATGGCCATTAGTGTATCAACCATGGTGCCATATTGAATTAGATGAAGCAGCATCAAGGTAGCGCCACAACAATGTCATCATTCACAGTTGGGTTAAAACAATGTGGTAGCCCCACGAATGACAACTTAGATATTCCTAAGGCTCAGTTTGAAATAGTACAAGTATAAATATGTAGAGTGCAAAACTTTGCATTTTATATTATTATATATATATATATTTGTACTGTATATATTTATACTCATTTCAAACGTGTTTGGTTGCAATGTAATTTTAGTTGCATCAGTATAAATGCATGAGTGCAAATTAAAAAAAAAAAACAAAATTTTGTTTAATTTTGTCATAGATTTTACTTTATTTTGCTTCATGTTTTAATTCATTGCATTTGTATTGCAATCAAACAAAATAAACTAACATTTGAAACAAAAAAGGTTAGAATTTACACTCAAATCATTTGCATTGTCATAATTTTGCACTTAGTACAAATTTATTTGCATTACAACCAAACACAATCCAACATGCCGGAGATGAGATCTGCTCCTCACAAATGAGCGCCTCACATGCATTAATTAATATGGGAGATATTCCCAATGCACGGTAGGATGTGCATGTGAGGCGCCCAGTGTGACGAGCAGATTCGGTCTCGCTAAAACGCAAAACCTTGGGCTGGGAACCTGGGCCAAGGAAATAAGGCCTGGGCCCTTGCCCTACGCCTTATTATTATTTTCAGATGGCGGGAAAATGGGTTTCTTGCCAGATAAGCGTCATACGCGCCTTTTTTCTCTTTTTTCTTGTGAGGAAGATTTGGCGCCATTTGCGGTCACAGACACTTCTCTCGACTTCGACCAGCAGACGTCGTCACTGAAGAGAGAATCTCATTTACCTTCAACTCTCCAATCTATAAGCCCCTATCGGTCTTGTTTCTTGTTTCTCCCATATATATCCAGGTTCAGACTTCAGAGGTTTAGTCACTATTCCGTCTCCACTTCGAACCAGTGCTAACACGCACTAACTATGCGCTTTACTGCGTAAGAGCTCATTCTCCTGCACCTTACCCTCAGATCTGGGTCTCGATGTTTTCAAGCTATTAATTAGATTCGCCGTTGCGGGATGCTGGACCCTTATCATCACTGCATTTCTTTCTTCCAACGCTCAGATTCATTGAACGTTATAAATTAGGGTTAGGTTTTATTGGTTATTGGTTTAGATGGGGAATAAGGTCACCGACGAACTGGTATCGACCGTGCGATCGGTTATAGGCAAAGAATTTTCGGACATGGATATAATTCGTGCCCTTCACATGGGTAACAACGACGTCACTGCCGCCATTAACATCATCTTTGACACGCCTAGTTTTGGCACCAGAGACAGACCAGATGCTCAGAGAAGTCCTGAAGTTTCTCGTCAGAATTCAAATCCAGAAAGTAGAATAGTCTCAGCGAGCCCCGAGAAAAGTGGTTCTGAGAATCAGGCTTGTTCAATGGGTTCTGTTGTAAGCGAGACCCCTGATTCTGTCCTTCGCGCCAATGGTGCGCTCGAATCTGCGGAACCTGTGAGACAATCTTCCGGCTCGGCCAATAGTGACTGGTGGTTCGTTGGGAGCTGCGAACTAGCTGGGCTTTCGACATGTAAAGGAAGGAAGATAAAGTCTGGTGATGAAGTCACATTTTCGTTCCCGTCAAAGAATTCCAGTTCCCCTTCAACAACCAAGTTTCCCGGCAGAGGACGAGCCGCAGCGGCTTGTTCGGAAATAGTCAGGTTCTCTACAAAAGATTCTGGAGAGGTCTGTGGAAGTTTATTTACTAAATTTTAAACAGTGAGCCTACTGCTCCATTTTCTTTAAACATCACTTGTGTATCATGTTGTAGATTGGTCGCATTCCAAATGAGTGGGCTCGTTGTCTAATTCCACTTGTGAAGGAGAAAAAAATTAAGATTGAGGGGCATTGTAAATCTGCTCCAGATGTGATTGGGATTATGGACACCATTATATTGTCAATCAGGTATGCTTAAAACGGAACCTGCAAATTGATTGTAAGTGGAAGGCAGTCTGTTACTGCGTTTTGTTAATTTGGTCATTTTCCTATACGAGGATCGTCCATGGTTTGATGGTTCTACACCCGTACCATTCAGCGTGTATATAAATAGTTCCATGTTTCGAAAGCGCCACCAGACTTCACTCAAGGTTGCCCGCAATCTCAGTGAGGAATCAGTTGTTCACCCTCTCCCTACTCTGTTCAGGTTGCTTGGATTGACCCCATTTAAGAAGGTGAGGTGTTAACATTTTGGGTTAGGAAGGTCCCCTTCCTTATTTTTTTTTCTTGTTTTTGACAGTTGACTGATATTTTGTTTCTAAGTCTTGTCATTTTATGTTCATGATTAGGCAGAATTCACTCCTGAAGATCTTTACATGAGGAAACGACCTTCGGATTTGAAGGTAGATTGAAATAAGTTTCTTTGTTCATCCATTGATCATTGTGTTGCACAGTGTACTGTGGCCAGTAATTGATTGTATATGAACAGGACAGTTCTGGAGTTCATGCTTCATCCCTTAATGTTGATAGATCTAAGAAGCTGCCTCTTCAAGGAAGCTCAGCTGAAAATAATCAAGAGTGCATTTCAGATTCTGATTTGGATAATATCATCAGTGGTGGAGACAGCTCTGAACTAGAGGTATTCTAGTTTCCAGGTGCCCTCAGTATGACCCACAGATTGTTGAGACTATGAATGCCATCTCCAATTTGTGTTGCAGGAAAGAGAACCCCCTCCTACCTTGCAGTGTGAATTACGACCTTACCAAAAACAGGCTCTTCATTGGATGATTCAGCTGGAGAAGGGAGGATGTTTGGAGGAGGCGGCAACAACCCTCCACCCGTGTTGGGATGCATATCGCCTCACAGACAGGTATCATGGAATAACTAGAGTATTGGATATTTCAAGCACTCAGTGGCTGAAGTTTGATTAGGGTGTTCGTGTTTCCAGGCGGGAGTTTGTTGTCTATCTGAATGCATTTTCTGGTGATGCTACAACTGAATTTCCTAGCACCCTCCATATGGCAAGAGGAGGAGTATGTATCAGGCTTTGCATTCTCCAATTAGTGTTTTGAATTGCCATCTGTTTTTAGCAATAACTTTGCAGCATCCTGACTTCTGCATGCATTTGAAGATCCTGGCAGATGCAATGGGGCTTGGGAAAACCATTATGACAATAGCTCTTCTGCTTGCTGATTTGGATAGGCGTGGTTCATTGTCTAGTCGGTTAACAAGTCATGCTTCTGATGGAAATCTTGAAGTTCATGGCATCTTGGATGAATCTCCAGATCCTCCAAGGAAGATAACCAAACTTTCTGGTTTTGATAAGCTGATGAGAAATAGGACCTCACTTATTGGTGGTGGCAATCTTATTGTTTGCCCCATGACTCTGCTAGGCCAGTGGAAGGTGAATTTGTGATTTTATTTTATTTGTATCAGATGTTTTATCTTTCCCACACACATAGTACTGGTTACTATGAAGGTTTGACCATTCATCTTTCCTAAAGGGCTGGCAAAGATTGAAATTCTTAAGCAACCTGGACCATTGTCTTTTTTTTTTTTTTCCGCTTTTGTTTTAGATGTTCATGTATTTTATTTACATCAGATGTTTTCTCTTTCCTAAGTCTGTAGTACTAAGGGTCTGAGCATTTAAGTTTCCTCTATGACAGGCAGAGATTGAAACTCATGCACAACCTGGATTATTGGCACTTTATGTTCATTATGGGCAAAGTAGACCAAAAGATGCAAAACTTCTAGCTAAGAATGATGTTGTCCTCACTACATATGGCGTGCTAGCATCGGAATTCTCAAGTGAGGTACCTCAAGATGCTTAATCCTTTTCTTATATTAATGGTGAATGTTCTAGGTCATTGTGAGTGGTAAGAAATGATTTAAGAACTTACAACTTAACAGAAAAAATGACTTGATAGAGCATAATGGCAGGATGGGAATTGTGTAACTGACTTCAAATAGTTGAGATTAAGGCTGAGTTAAGATTATAGATCATTGTGAAGTTTTTTCTTACCAAGGTTATGGATCTTGCTTTCCATTCATAGGTTGTTTTTTTTCCCGTTTTTTACTGCAGAATGCAAAAAGCAATGACGGGCTTTTTTCGGTCCGGTGGTTCAGAGTTATTCTTGATGAGGCACATACCATTAAATCTTTGAGAAGCCAAATATCCATGGCTGCAGCTGCACTAACTGCCGATCGTCGGTGGTGTCTTACCGGTACACCTATTCAGGTGAACTTTTATTTGGAAATATTATGCTGCACAATGTGATGGTTTTGCCTTTCTTAAATTACACATACTGTGAATGGTTTCCTTTTTAGTTTGAGTTTGTCACAGTTTTTTTCTGCTCTATTGACCAAATAGCGGAATACAGAAAACAAGTTGTCACTTCACAGCATGCTATTTGCTTCTTTGTGCTGTATCTTTGAAAAAAATTGACCAATCATGAAGGAGAAGTCCAAACAAATTTAAGATGCTTGTGTGCACATATTTTTACTTGGTATTGGGAAAATATATATTGTCTGTATGATTTGATAGGGAGAATCTTTTAATTTGGACTTGTTTCTTCATAATTGCTATTTAAAGTATGCTCAATTCAACCCTGATCAACCAAGTATAAAAAGTTCATCTCAACCTGATGGTATTCTCATGTATCTTTAATTTTGATGAAATACCAACATTCATATTTTATCTTTTATTTTGTTTTTATTCGTATTGCCAACTGTGGCTGTTTTTCAATCTAATAATCAAAATTTTATTGATAATTGAGTTAAAGAATAATTTGCCAAATATGTTCCAAGCACCATTATGTTTGGCCTGACCTCTGCTAGCCTCCCTTTTGATTTTAGCTTTTCTGCTTACGTACTGCATATTCCCACCTTCCCCCATGATGATGCGCGATCTGGTGCACCCTGTTCGAGAGCAGCTTGGATGACGAGCTGATTAGGTTGCTCGGTCGAACCGCAGGAAAAGGATGAGAGATCAGAGTGCCTTTGACTACCTTACCTGGTGTGGGCACTCTGATTCTTAAGTCAGCGAAGAGTGTTTTTGAGAAGTGAAAGTGAGAGAGCTAGAAAATTGTGAGAGCTAAATCGTGTGCACCTTCTGTGACAGAGGTGACGCCTTTATATAGGCACAAGAAGTCGAGAGCATAGTTTTCAAGGCACCAAGGCAAGGCTAGGCGACAGGGGGGCGCCTTGTCGTGAAGGAGGTCGCCTGTCACATCATGCAGGTCGCCAATTGGGCTATCACATCATGTATGTCGCCTCTTATGCCAACCTGACACTTTCCGGGGGGTTCGCAGGTTGGCCTGCCGAGGTGAGGTCGAGATGGGTGCGATGTGCTTGAAGTTCTCCCGAAGTCGATGCTTACTTGGTGCTGAGGTGTCATATGACGGTTCTGTGGTGCCACGTGTCGTGATGTCACTAGAGGACCAAATCACCCCTCGTCACCCCCACCAATTTTTGGCTATTCCTTGTCTTGCCAAAGCATTAGCTCTACTGCTTTCTTTTTCGATGTTTGGGTAAAGTCCTTCAATAAAAATTGAAATTCTTTCCTTTTATGTATGTACCTAGACAAATATGTAATTTTGACAGTGGAAAGTTGTGTGTGACTCACAATGACTTGTCTAAAATTAAATTGTGTTGTCTTTTCATCCAAGCACATATTCATGTGTTTTTTGATGAACGCCTGAAATTTATTGTGGAAAAAAAGAATAATTATAATTACAAATTGCCTGAATTTTTTTTAGGTAAGCTACCTGGTCTCTCTTTTATCATTTCGTTTTACATTTTAAAACGCCCCCAAAATGTTTCTTCCCTATGTACCCTGTTCTTAGCTAAAACAGCTGCTAGGCTATGGGCTGTCCTTGGCAATCAACTCTTTCTAATGACCATTCCCTTGCTAGACTTCTTAACTCCCTTATTATCTATGTTGCCATGGAGTTCACTACTTCCATTTAGCCAGCCCATTACTATTTTGGGGTTACCCCCCATAACCAGAGAACTCTTGGGCTTCTGTCTCTAAAGAGTTTTCCAATCAATCTGTGGTTCATCTTTTCTCCCCCTATCTCTCTCGTCAGTTTGTAGAGCTTGTGATTGTATGTTAATCTAGGTGCCACTTGGTTGTGGGGTGGGCCTAATCCTGTTGCACTATGTTCCTGTTTACCATTTCATAAATTACCTTATCTTTTTCTCTTTTTCAAAAAGGTAAAAAGGATGCTTTCCCAACTTTGAGTCCATATAATACAACATGTAATTATGTTCTTATGGCATTCCTCTGGCCTATTGGTCATGAGGATATGGCCATAATGGCTCCATTACCATCTCTAAACATCTCCCATATACCTGAAGGCCCTGGGTTCCCCAGGCTGCACCATCAAAGTTCAACTTGACATGGCTGTTGGTGGTTGCCATTGGATTGAGATGCCTCTATGTGTGGTGGAGGAGGAGGCTATCTATTGCAACCTCTAATAATATCATCCATAGCGAAATGCTTGAAGGGGCTGCCTTTCATTGGTAATTTATAATATTTCTTGTAACTTCTTTGATTCATAGTTCTACTTAGCTCCATGTGGTTTTCCATCTACTTTAGTGTTTTTATTCTATGATGTTTACTTTTATGGCAGAACAACTTGGAGGACATTTATAGTCTTCTTCGATTTTTGAAGGTGGAACCTTGGGGCAACTGGGCCTGGTAAATCTTGTGACCTGGTCTAATAATCTTTGTTTTCTTATGCTGTTAAGTTCTCTATGCAAAGATGCTTGATATGTCATACTGCCTCTGGCTTTAGGATACAACCTCCTTTCTGTGAGAATTAAGGGTACAACCTTGCTGCTATTTAAATCTGGCCAAGTTGCATATAGTCGTTTCACCAAATTCCATTATTATAGTATGGCTTGTATTTAGACCTTTCTCATGTATTTGATAAAGTCATGTTTAAAACACTTTGATGGCCTTCAATGCCTTGGGGATTGGGAGTGGCAGTTGATTTGATTAGAGCTTGATTCGATTGTAAGTTTGCAACCGTAATGGTGGATGGGTGGTTTTTGCTTTGGTTGTTTGGGTTTGCGGTGTTTCTCTTTTTCTTGGTTTGAAAGAAGTTTTGTTTTAAGGGGAGGTTGGGCTTGATTAGGATGCTTTTTTTTGTCTCTTTCTTGTTTAAGAGTTTTTCATGTATTTAGGGTTTTTATTTGATTGGTGTCTTGGGTGTTGATGGTAGGGTTTGAGTTTTAGTAGCTGGTGATTTGTTTTGTTGGGTGTAGGGTTTCTTATTCTCTTGGGTGATTCTTGTCACCTTCCTTTTACTCTTCTTTTTATTTAAATATATTTTTTTATTTTACTACAAACAAATAAAGTGGGATGGTTTTGGGTCTATCATATATTCATATGGAATTGATTAGTAATATGTTCGGGACTTGTATAGCTTGTCTTGAATTAGATCTATCCATTGACAACTCTAATATAATCAAAGTAAGATGATCATGCTATAAAGATAGGCAAGAGACTAAAAATATAGAAAACTTAGAAAAATATAAAACCATAAGAAAGGAAGTTAAAAAGAAAGTGAGTGAAGTTAAATTTATGGCATACGATGAAATATATCATAAATTAGGCACTAAAGGGGGAGAGTATGGAATTTGTAAACTAGCAAAAGGAGGGAAAGAAATGGTAGAGATTTAAATAGAGTTAGATGCATTAAATAGGAAGATCAAAGAGTTGATAAAAGATCACAAAATTAAGGAAAAATGAAAAACTATTTTGAAAGATTATTAATTAAGGAGCATGTTGAGGGTCTAGTGGAGGGATTGTTAACTTTAATAGAGATAAAAGGAGCATATACCTTCACAAAATTAGAACTACTAAAGTGAAGGGTTAGGAGACGCTAAACAAGATGAAGAAGGGAAAGGCATTAGGACTTGACGATATCCCAATAGAAGTATGGAAAGGTATGGGAGAGGTAGACCTATTATGGCTAAATAAACTATCTAACATGATAATGAAAACAAAGAAAATGTCAGATGAATGGAGAAAGAGCATTGTGTGCCTGTATTAAACAAGGGCTATATTGTGATAATTATTGTGGAATTAAACTCATGAGCCACATTATGAAACTTTGGTGGAGAATAATTAAGCGGAAGTTATGACATGAAACAAATATTTCAGAAAACTAATTTGGGTTTATGCCAAGAAGATCAAACATGGAAGCCGTCTTTCTATTGGGATGATTCATATGGCTTTCGTTGAACTAGAGAAAGCATATGATTAAGTCCCTAGAGATGTAATATAGTGGATTTTGGAAAAGAAAAGAGTCTCAAATATGTATGAATCTAATTAAGGATATGTATGAGGAGGTCCCATTGTGCTTGGTCCATATTTATTACAGTTGCAATGGGTCTTCACCAAGGTTCAGCACTTGGTCCTTATTTATTGAGTATTGACTAAAATATTCAAGTGGAGGTCCCATTGTGCTTGATGTTTGCTGATGATATAGTATTATTTGATGAAACTACCAAAGGATTAAATGTAAAATTAGGTTTATGGACAACTCTATTAGAAACAAGAGGCTTTAAATTAAGTAGTACTAAAACAGAATATATGCAACACAAATTTAATTATAAAAGGAGTGCAAATCAGGGTACACTTAGGACATGAGATGAAGAGACAACTCAATGTGACCTCTTTTGATACCTTGGTTCAGTGATTCATAACAAAGAAGAATTTGAGGGGGATGTTGCCCAAAAGGGAGGGTTACATCTGGAGTCTTATTTGATAGCTGAATAACGTTTTGGCTAAAAGGACAAAGCAATTGTAAGGCTAGCTATGTTGTGTGGAGCAGAGTGTTGGACAGTTAAGAAATAGCATGCCTGAAGAAATGAACACGACAGAAATGCGAATGCTTAGATGGATGATTGGTAAAACTAGAAAGGACAGGGTTAGAAATAAAGTGATGCAAAGGAACCTAGGAGTAGCTCCAATAGGTGATAAAATGAGAGAAAGTAAATTGAGACAATTTTCACGTGCATAGAAGACCATTTACAGCACCTGTTCGAAAAAGTGATATGTTACAAGTTGAAGGGGATAGAAGAGCTAGCCAACCAAAAAGGACCTGGGTGGAAGTAATAAGAAATGATTTAAGCCCTCATAATTAAACGATGGATATGGCACTGGACAAAATGGAGTGGAAAAACAAGATTTATGTAGCTGGCCTCATGTAATTGGGACAAATCTTAGATGATGATGATTTTACTATAGATACTAATCATGGGAATTATTATAAATAAGTCTAAAAGTTGCCATGAATAGTAATTCTGTGGTAGTAAATTTCTAGAAAACTTAAAAACCTTATTCTTAAGATGCAAGCAACTAGAAAATAAATTAAAAAGCTCAAATAATACCAATGTCCTATCACCCCAAAATTCTGAAAATTGGTGGAATTGGAAAGCTGATGTTTTTTCCCCATGAATTCTTTTACTATAGAAAGAACAAGTAAGTTTGTGCTTAAGTAAGCTAATGGCTATTTAAACTTGACATGCAAAAGAAATTTAATTGTCTTCTTTTAAGTTTTTCATTATGGAAGCTTGTCACCAAAATATGGTGAACAAGGTTATTTAACAGCAGAATATTTCTAAAATGTTGGAAACTTGTGTGAAAGGTTGTAGTTGTTGAGTACCCGAAAGTTGCCAATGACTTGAAAATATTTGATGCTATATTTGGAAATAAGAAAGGAAAAACAGACGCCTCCAGATTATTTTGTCATTATAAACTTTCATATAAAGAAAGGAATTGAAAGCAGAGACAGTTTTAGATCAAAGTACACTTACATGCTACCTATGGAAATGAAAATATTTAGTAGTGTTGATATTGAAAATGATAGTTTGATTGATGTTTTAACTGAGTTGGTGATTTGATAATTTTCTTAACAATGCTAGGTGGAATAAACTTGTCCAAAAGCCTTTTGAAGAAGGTGATGAGCGGGGATTGAAGTTGGTTCAGTCTATCTTAAGATCGATGATGTTGAGAAGAACAAAGTTTAGCACAGACAGAGAGGGCAGGTTTGTGAACTAGCTGTGATGCATGAGTTGGGGATGCATTTGTTTCCAGCATCTTGTCAACATGTTGGATGGATACCGATGTTTTTCTCTTTAGCTTCTCTAAAATGTATATAAAGGTGTCTTGTATGTATATGGTTGGATGCATGAATATAAGTAGTATATATATGGCTGTGCCCACATTTCTAGATCTTGTGGGTTGCCTTGTGATACCCTTCACCCAATGTTGAGGTATGACATATGTTAGTATCATTGCAAACTATTGAGAATCTCATTTTTATTTTTCTTATTTTTTTTGCTCGGTATAGGCCAATTTTAGTTCTCCCTCCAGCCGATATTCAGGTGATTTATTGTGAACTCACAGAAGCTGAGAAGGATTTCTATGAGGCCCTCTTTAAAAGATCCAAGGTACTTCTTGTCTTATGATCTTTGCATTTCTCTTGATGTTGAATATTTTCCTTAGCTATGCAACATGTTACTGTGCTTTCTATCAGGTCAAGTTTGACCAATTTGTTGAGCAAGGAAGGGTTCTTCATAATTATGCTTCCATTTTGGAGTTGCTTTTACGTCTTCGCCAATGTTGTGACCATCCCTTTCTTGTGATGAGGTTTGTTTCAGAGTGCAGTATAGTTTCTGGTTCTGCTATCTTTTTTATTTTAATTTATTTTATTTGAAACAAGTGTATCTGTAGTAGGTGTAAATCAAATAGAGGGTGGGCTGGTGAAAGCAGCCTTGAAGAGGAAGTACATGTTTATAAATCATTGTAAATACTAGACTTCTCTTCATTAATAAAGTGATTGTTATCAATCAAATATCCATCTGCCATTTACACCAAAGCACTGCACATAGATCTATACACCTTATAGTTAGTATGACATAATCATATGAACGAAATATCCTTTTACAAAAACCATTAAAAGGATTGTCCTTTGAAATCTTTACGAGCAGCTAGCCATGAACACAACTTGCCTTTGGTTCTCCCTACCACCACCATTGCTAGTGTGCTAAATAAACTTATTTTCAAGCTCATGTGCATTTATTTCAGATCTCTCTCTTTCTCTCTCTCTCTCTCTCTCTCTCTCWCWCWCACACACACACACACACACACACCCCAGAATATGACCACAGGCATCAGACCTTATACAAGATTTCCTCTCTTGCTTAGACCTCCAAGATGCTGTCCTTGAAGAAATGTTCATTAGACTGGAAAGAAACCACTCTGCCAAAAGTATCCAGGGCTATAGGTTTGCACCAAAAGGACAATGCAGAAATAGATGATTTGCCATCTCCACACCAGTCAAGAGAGGCCACTGAGATAGATGATCTGCCATATTGATTTATTGTGAACTAGTACTGCATTTCTGCTTACAAGCTTTATTTGCTGATTTTTCTAGTGTCTTGAAGGGGCCAGGGGATGTGCCACTTAGGTCCTTACCATTTCTTTTTCTTTTGACAATTTTTCTGTGAATTCTTAATTGGCAATCTTTTTTGTAAATTCTTAATTTAACTATTGGATAGGAGAAATTCATATTGTGAAATCCCTATTCGATTCTATGTTAAAGTAGAGAAGAAGAAGAAGAGAAGAAGAAGAGAAGAAGGGTTTGGCCAAATTAGGAAAAATCAGTCCACCTCTAGCCGACCCACTTGTATTTATCTCCAATAACATAGTTACAAGAAAAGACCATATTGTCCCTCATAAGTGATGGGACACATAACTTAAACTTAAATAAAA